CCATAGGTGAGGTAGTGTCTGACCACTGCAGAATATAATGAAAATATCAATTGTGCTTGTATTGATGCAGCATAAAACCATATTTGCCTTTTTAGCCACCACACCACACTGTTCACATATTCAACTCCTATCCCAGGGGCCTCTTTACATATGGTTCATGGGGTCACAAAGAGTCGGACACGACTTAATGACTGAACAACAACATTATCAGTCTAGAGCTCTCTCATTCTATTTCAGTTTAAAATCAAAGCTACATTTTGTTCTGCTTACATTCACTTCTGAGGGCTGGCCCTGTCTACTTCTTAAGAGGACAATTACTGGCATAACACTTGAGGGCAAACGTGATCCTAAGCCAAAAAAATGGCATATCCCTAATCCTAAGTCATCACTCCCATAATGCTTCTCAGTGGCCTCTTTCAAGGCAACATTGACTGTAGAAAGAATCTCTTCTGATCTATAAGCTCAACCACATGGTCAAGTTCAATTACAAGGTTACTGAAGGACATTTCAGTCTTTGTTCTAGGCTACAACCGAGCCTTACATCTTTGTTTCCAGAGCTCACCGCTGGGCTTCCACTCACTTGGTCAGTTCTGGCTTCAGACACTGCATCACCACAACGAACCAGCCGTGCCCATCTTCACACGTGCCTCTGAGGAACTCGGGTACCGATTTATACTCCAAAACACGCAACAGAGCGCTCAGGAGCTCCTGAGCCCCACGCCGGCTCCTGGGCCGGGTCCATGGCCTCTCTGCCGCATGAGCCACCGCACAGATGAAGACGGGTCCTGCCACTTGGCGAAGGACCGAGCCAACCACCGCAGGGTCCAACTCGTCCAGGCCTTTCGCCGCTTCTACCTTGGCCAGGATGTGGCAGAAAACCAGGCTGACCTCCGACGCTCGCTCCGTTCCCGCGGCACCAGAGGGGTCTTCTCCGGGGGACGCGCCTCCCTCCGGCTCCCACCGGAGAGGCGCTGCGTAGCGGCTCAGGGCAAGCACCAGCTCCCGAAGCAGGGCCGGGGCGGCGCCGAGCAGCCACCGAGAGTCCGCAGCCTCCAGGAGGGCGGAGAGGCCTCTGAGGAGCCCCGTCTTGCCTGTGCCGGGAGCCCCGCTTCCAAAGAGCCGCAAGAACCGGGGGAGAGCCTGTTCGGCTGGGGCAGAAGCGGGCTCCCCCAGCCCCCCCGCGGCGGAATCCAGCGAGCGGGGCTGCCCCACAGGGCTGGGACAGGCCTCGTCCCCGGGCATCGCGCCTGCGAAGTCCTCACTCCGCCGGCACCGACTTCTGGCCTCCCGCGCTGATTCTCCTCCCGAGTCCCCGCCCCCTCCTTTGGATTCCCTGGGCCTCAATTCGAATCGCGCTCAAGCGCCACCCGGACTCAAGCCGGTTACGGCTCCGCCGTCGGACGCCGCAGAAGCGCCCCGGCTGCCGCAGAACGGAAGCTCCTGCCGGTATTCCGCTATCCCGCGGAAGCGGGAATTTCAACTCCCTCCTTCAGGGAGCAGGAAGGAAA